AATTGTCTCGGATCGACCCGGAAACAAAAATTTCTTATAGCATGTGGCCTGTAGAATCCATTATTTCAAACAGTTCCAAGATTGGGCTACTAGTTCAAAAGTTACAGCCCTTTGATTTTTTTTCGAAATTGGTTATCTAGTCTATAACTTTTGATTGAGAAGTCTGATCGAAAAAGAACGAATTGATTTGGATTCTACGCACCCAAATTAATAAGAAAAAGTGTTTTCCCGAGAAATTTTGGTGTAGTAGATTTTTGGTAAAAAAGGAAGGTTGTACACTGCCTTTTATTGAGCCCCGAAAAAAAATTGTCTCATATCGACCCGGAAAAAAATGTTTCTTATAGAATGTGGCCTGTAGAATCCATAATTTCAAACAGTTCCAAGATTGGGCTACTAGACTACGTTCCCTGCCACCTGTCACTTTACCACCTGTGACAATGCTAAATGTCTATAATGACTCCTGTAATCACTGACAGATTGACATGAATCAAAAGTTCTATATGAAAATTGAAATTTTATATTAAAATACGATTTCGGGTAAAATTTAATACAAAACTCGTCAAAAATCACATTACCTGACTCGGAAATTTCCTCGCCAGTAATGTGTCATTTTCCGGACTGTACATAACTATTAATTTCTATGACAGAGGCAGAGCAGACTACATTTCCTGCAACTTGTCACTTGACTGGCCGCATCTGTCAGTTTACCGGCCGCACCGTCACTTTACGGGCCGCATCTGTAACATTTCTAAACGTCTAAAATGACTCCTGTCATTACTAGCAGATTGACAATCAAAAGTTCTATATAAAAATTGAATTGAATTGAAATTTTATAATAAAATATGATTTCGGGTGTAATTTAATACAAAACTCGACAGTAAAATGACATTACTTGAATCGGAAATTAAAGTACTATGCCCCAAAGGCCAGTAATGTGTCATTTTCCGGACTTTTATGTAAATAACTATTACAAACATTCCAGACTTTTCAGTTACGGTCTTTGATACATATTTTCCTGATCACACTGCTGTTGGTTTTACCATTGATGACGTCGCTTCCCACAAATATTGTAGTGGAAATAATCGTAAAATTACATATAGGTACACCAATCTCATCTCTAGTCACAAAGGAGATGCCCAGAAATGTTATAATTGAGATACAACAATTAATTAGCAAAAGCGAAAAAGATGAAAAATGATTAATTCATAAAAAAAACTCTAAAAATAAGGTAGCTGCGATGTGGCAAATCATTAAAGGCAAGAACACCTTGAACCATGTGCTGAACTGAATTGTAACATTTTTAATGACTATTTCATTGACCCAATTGATAACATTGTTAACAATGCTCTAAGATGCGCAGACTCAAAGGCGTCAGGGTCTGCGACACAATCCCATACATATTTCTAAAACATCTTCCATTAACTGCAAAGCTATCTCTCTTAGACTTATATAGGTGCTGGGTCGAAAATACTTACCCTAGTGAATGGAAACAGTCCGTCGTCGTTCCTATCCTCAAACTCGGTAAGGACACATTGATCCCGTCGAGTTATGGGCCCATAAGTCTAACTTGTTGTATAGGTAAACTTCTGGAAAGGATGGTCAATAATAGACTGATGTGGTACTTAGAACAAAACCGACTCATAGTAGACCATCAGGCGGGTTTCCGCCGAAACCGAACCACCAATGATCAGTTAGTGTATTTGGAAAGCATTGTTCAGCGCGCCTTTAGAGACAGGGAACATACTGTGGCTATATTTTTTGAACTTGAAAAGGCCTATGATATGACATGGCGATACGGTGTTTTACGAAAGTTGCATAGCTGGGGACTCAGGGGAAATTGGCCTCTCTTCCTTGCCGACTATTTGAGAGAGAGAACAATGAAGGTGAAATGTGGAAACGCCCTCTCGACGTTTAAGGTCCTTGAAAATGGTAATCCCCAAGGTTCGCCGCTAAGCGTCACCCTATTTGCGTTTGCCATAAACGACATTGCATCGGGTATAGACCCTGTCGTGCACAAATGCCTCTACGTTGACGATTTGGCCATTTTCTGTGCGGATAAAACTGTTGGAAGAATAACCAGACGTCTTCAACCGGCTCTAAACCAAATAATCAGTAACGCCGAAAACTCTCTGGCTTTAAGTTTTCCCGCGAAAAAACAAAATGTGTCCATTTCTGTAGGCTAAGGAGACCTCACTATGATCCCGTAGTTTTCTTTAAGGATCGACCCATACCTGTCTCAAGATCTGTTCGTTTTCTGGGTCTCATCTTTGATGATCAACTAAGATGGAGAGAACATATAGAGGGCGTAGTAGATAAATGTAGATTGGTCCTTAACATATTTAAGGTGCTTGCGGGCACCAAATGGTGGGCTGATCCAGACACCTTACTACAAATGCACCATTCCCTGTTACTATCCAAGATGGAATATGGTTGTGTAGCCCAAAATTATTAACAAAAATGACATCTTTGCGCCGGTATGGCGTCTATCCGGGCCCGTCGGTGCGGTATGGCAGGTTGACTTTCGTGAATGACTGATTGAGGACTTGTTGCTCATAAAAAATTGAGCTTGTAGCAAATCACCAAAAAAAAAAAAAACAATCGACACGTTCAAATGAGTATGGCGGGCTATAAGGCCCACCGGAAAAGTATGGCATTTCCTTTCCGTCATTTGTTTTGTCACCGGCTACCAGAAAATCCAAAGAATTTGGTGTAGCAAATTGTCCAAAATCATTAAATTTTTTGACATGTTTAAACAATCGTCACGCAATAACGGCCCCACTCCCAGAGAGTTAGCACCATTTTCGTATTGAGGAGTACTTAATTAAATCATTGAATGGTCGCCATACTTGTAGCAAATCACACCACAAAAAGTGTCACCATCTCCCGGTCTAGTATTTTTACTTGTCGAAGAAGGGGGTAACACTTAAAAGTGTTTTATAGGGGGCACCACCTGCCGATGCAATTTATAGATGAAAGCGCGCGCTGCTCTCCCAAGAGGTGCAAAATTGTTCACTTCCTTTCCGGTAGCTTTTCCGTTCGGCACGCTTAGTTGACAGCAGCTTTAAAATATTTCCATGACCATGAGATTAATCTTTTCTATCTTTTGCGATTCAGCTGTATTGTGGGAGTTCGAAGGTTGTTGTATTCTATTCGAGGTCGAAGTAATTAATTCACCATTGTGACGTTGATAATCATTATTTTCTGAGCACCCTGAGCACAGAGATTTTTTTAATGTAACTTTTTGTAGAGTTATATTGTTATTGTTACGTACGGGCCACAATTCAGTCTATGTTCGAGTTTCAAATTAAATTTCCATAATTAGTTCAACGAATTATGTATTTGCTCAACGTAATTATTACTTAATGTCTTAGCCAGTAACGCATCGCGACTTTTATAGATATTCGATCGACTTTTGTGCGCATTATTCTTTTATGTACGTAGATTGTTACGTTAGTGGATGTAGGTACCTATTCGATATTGAAACGTAGACTGCAAGTATCGTGATCATATAGGCCCCTCAGACATTCATTATTTAATCACCGAGCCACGCAAGTTAGATGCGTGAATTCCATTTCTTTTTTGATTTTTTTTCGGCGATAATTGCATCGTGGCGAGCTCTCTTCAACTATACATAATTCACCCCCCAGGTAAAATGTTATTGTTCTTATGATTGTAGTACCTACGTGTGTTTTATTTATCCAAATAATTATTGAACGTTGTCATACTGTGTTGGAATATTGTTGTGTATTCAACCCAGTAATTTTTATGCGGCGAGTGTTGAAGTGGGGGGTGAGAGTTTTCATCAATAATTTTCTCGTTCTCGTCTTCAGTATTTAACGAAACACCATTTCCACAATAAAATAATCTCCTTCTTCAATGAATTTGCAAAAATACCGCCAAATATATTCCAAAATGTCATCAGCGACGACGGAACGCATCAAACCCCCACTTCTCCATATGAAACGTACCTACAATCCTTCGTAACAGACCAGCATTCTGTTATCAGCGAAAAAACGCGTGCGTTAATTACAATTCGCCTGATAATAACACTTTTTATCGCAAAAGGTGATAAAATGAAAATGAACGAGAATAACGTATCCACACACATTTCTAAAAGGGCCAACAAATAAATCATCTGTGTTTATTTGTAAATAACCCACCAGATTCAACCACCAGTATCAAAAGTTATTTCATTGCAATTTTTTACCTATAACTTTTGACGTACAGAAGCAATCTTCACCTTCACATGTATCTTTTAGATCCAAATCGCTCAGAAAATTGCAAATAGTACTCGTGTAGCAAACGTTTATAGCGCTTTCTGTGTTTTTACACGGTGGCCCAACCTTGTTGAATATGCTGCATTATATCTTAAAGGACCTGAACCCACTGAACCCAAACTAATTGGCCTTATGCGCGTGTTTAAAACAATCGTGAACGCCATGTAAGTAATCAATTTTTTGACGTGCATTCATTTTCCATTTATAATATGCAACTTTTCTCTTCAAATTTCTGAAATCCGTCCACAAACAAGAACGTGAGCACTGTGCAGTTCAAATGACCTTCGTGGAAAACTTCCCCAAATGGATTTGCAATAGTTTAAAGTCACAAGTTAAAAACCAACTTTTTTTTCAGCAAAACGGTTATTTTGATATCGTTAAAATTTTTTGTAGTGTATATTATTAGCAATAAAGAATTTAAGATTGTCAAAAACATATTTATATGAGTACTATGTATACCTCTTTGCAATTTATTCCAAAATTTAATTCTAAATTTAATAGGGAAGAAAATATTGACATTGGGATTTATATTTTACAATGATAGCGAAATTAAAACGAACTGGTAGCAAAGGGCTATGGCGTTTTGAAAAGGAGAAACATAAAGTTGGTGTACTTTTACCACCCCATGCAGGCCTATGAGCTTCAATCTCTTGAATAAATAAGTGAACTTTTACCGTTTAAAATTCTTTGCTATACTGAACCTGTACCTAATTAATCAACAAATTAACCAATATTTCTGGCGTTTTATTTATTTATTGTAATTATTACATCCATATCTACTCCATGTAAGATATCATAGTGTATATACAAATTAAATGCTTATATAGCCTATGTTTAACCCTAAATTTAACACAGAGTAAGCCAGTTTTTAATTAATTATAGGTAGTCACTGGCTAATTAATTCTTATGTTTCGCCTTCTTCTTTTTCTTCAGTTTCTTCTTATGCTTTCTCTTCTTTTTATCTTTATCTTCATCACTTGACTCGCTTTCAGACTCGGATTCGCTACTCGAACTGCTATCTTTTCGACTCCTTTTCTTCTTGTGCTTTCTGTGTTTTTTCTTTCGCCTTTCTTCATCTGAACTGGAGTCGCTCGATTCAGATGATGAACTCTCTTCTACTTTAGTTTTCTTTTTCGAGACCTCCTCCTCAGCAGGCGGCGAGCTTGTTCTCTTTTGTTTAACTTTTTCCTCCTTTTTAGTGCCATCGTCCTTCTCAGACTCGCTTTCGAGATCATAGTCCGGTTCAAAGTTGGACTCGTCTAGCGTAGGTTTTCGCTTATCTGTGGTAGATTTTGCTTTTGTGACCTTCTCGTCCTCATTTTTACTGCCTTTAACGGTTTCTTTTTCTTCTTCATCCTTCCTGTGTCGTTTATTAACCTTCTCTTTTTTCTTTTCTTTCCTATCCCTTCTTTTACGTTTATCTTTATCAGAAGGACTACGCGATCTGGACGACTTCTTCCGGTCGCGATTTCTTTTCTCGTCCAAATCGCGGGATTTTTCTCGTACTCGTCCACGACTACGCGCTCGGATAGGCTCCCTTCGATCCACCCTTCTATCAATCTTCCGATAGTCCCTTTCTCTGTACGAATCGCGCTTTATATCTCTTCTAATAGACGGTCTAGTTTCGCGATCGCCCCGAAACGACCGATGATGGCGATCACGCCCTTTATCACCTCTCGAATCGTACCTCTTTCGATCGTCAATTTCGATCCGCCTCTCGCCCTGGCCCAAATTTCTGTTTAATTCGCCGGCGCGCCTGCTGAGAGGCGAAAGGCTGCGCGATCGATTACGATCGTAGGGCTTCTCGACTTTGACGATCCTGTCCAAATCGTCCACTTTACATCCTAGCCTTTCCTTAACTGATAACCTCGGTTTCGTTACCTCCACCGGTTCGACCGGGACTACGTCATCGTCGAAACCTCCCGTTTCCGTAATGATAACGTGATAATTTCGGGCGCCCTCCCTCAGGTCGTCGGACTTTTTGTCGCGATCTCGCTCGCCCGAATACAATTTGGCACGGTCCAAACTAATTTTTTTAATCTCGATAGGTCGAATCGCGTTAATCGCCTTCGCGAAGATCGCGTTCTCGGCGCGTTTCAGTACTTCGTTTGTGACTTTTCCCGATTTGTCCAATCGGTCCAATTTGCCATCGCCTCTGCCGTAACCCGAGCTACCGGGTGGAAATAGTTCGTCCTCGACCTCCCACTTCGACCTTTCAGGGAGGTGCGCCAGCATCTCATTTTTAATGTCCATGTCAGTTTTTAGATCTGCTTCATTGGTGTGCAACTCTAATATGTCCTTTTCAGAGTCGTCATCGTAAGACAACTCGCCTTCATCGCGACCGTCGTCATTTTGTGATGTTTTGTCGACGCCCTCGGATGTTTCCTCGTCTTTCAATGATTCTTCCTTCAATTTACCGTAATTCTCAATAACGCTATTGTCAATGTCTTCTGATAACAGATCCCCGTACAAATCGTGATTATCTTCCGTTTTTGGAGATACGTCGAACCTATCTGTATCGGGCGGGTAATCCCTCTCAGAAGTGTTCGATTCACGTTTACTTTCGGCCTGAGCTTTCTTGTTGCGTTCTCTAATTTCATCGACGAAATCTTTGTCGTCGCTTGCGTCCTCGGATACACGCCGTTTTTCAATTTTCTCACTGTGCTTAGGCCGTTCGCTATCGTTATTCTCGTGTGATTGACCTTCGACTTCCTCCTTTCTGTCGGAAGATTTACTCTTTCTCTCCGATTTTTCCTTCTCCTCCGCCGCCCTTCTTTGCTTGTCATGTTCTCGTTTCTCTTTTTTCTCTTTGCGTTTCTTTCTCTCCTCCTCCTTCTTCTCGCGTTTTTCCTTCTTTCTTTTCTTATCCTTGTTTTTCTTAGTTCTTTCGTCGTCGGACACGTCGCGTTTTCTTTCATGAACACGCTCGAATTCTCGCTTCTCTATATCGAAAGAGTCGTCGCGTCGGCGATGCTTGTGCTTTTCCGGCGACCGATGCTCTCGGTCCTTCGATGGTCTCCTCGGTGACGCGTACCGGTTTCGATCTGGCGATCTGGCGTCATGTTTGCGTTCTACGTTCGCCTCATCTCTATGATCGCGTCTTTCACTCTCCTTGTCCTTAATAGAATGCGTGGGGCTAAAGTTATCAGCTGTGTCACGATTATTCTGATCATACGAATAACGGTCATCAAACCTAGGTGTGTTTTCTAATCCAGGTATAGGAGGTTGTTCGGTACCAGGCGGTGCAACATCGTCGTACCTTCGAATGGGCGGTGGAAGATGTTGAGCTGGTGCATGCGGAACTGGTGGATGTTGCAGTGGCGGTATGTGATGTGGCGGATACACATCACGCGGTGGGTACCTAAACAGAACAAGACAGTATAAATATTGTTAAACTAAACGCAGCTTGTGGAGTAAACACTTGAGGTTTTAAATTGGAAATCTTTAAGTATGAAGAATGAGAAGACTTTCATAACCAGAAATATTTCATTGCAATATTTACAAAGACACGAAGTCTTCTCACTCCACAAATTCTACCTATTAGCCTTAAGAAGACTACATCCCTTCTTCATTATCCTGGAACGTATGTACACTGCATTGGAATGGACTTCTTTCCATCAATTTCTTCGGTAACTTGTGTCGAAAGTATTGCATGCAAACACAGTCATTCAGGGTACACCGGGCGCATTGCCGTTGAGATCTATGGCACTCGCGAACAGCCAAAGAAGGGGTGTACAAGCCACTGCACTCAGAAGAATGGAGCTACATTCAGTAGAATTGTAATTTGAGGAAATTCGACGATTGAGTCACAGTTTGGCAGCTAATAATGATTATCCCAATACTGGAAATCTTGCAGCTTCTACAGGGAGGTCAATAATAATTGTCATGTTTCTTATACCTGCGTAATCGTCCGTCCGTCCATTTGTCTAAAAGTTTGAGTTATAAACACTCTGTTCTCATAGAAATTGTTGCTGTTTTATTTAATGTGTTGTTGATTTTTAAGGTAGATGACGCCCAGACGCATCTCAAAATTTTCAAAAAAATATTAGCTGTAGATGAATCCGATGCGTAAAAAATCGATTTGATCACACATTTAAAAAATTGACTCACGCATGCGCAAACACGTTTTTAGTAGAAGTATAGCTGTATTAAATATTGGTGGTCGAAGGCCACGAGTAAAAAATACGCGTTGACCGATCGCGCGAGTGCGGCGGCTTATAGCCACTTGTCTAGATTGAAATTCATAGTGCCCCTCAAATTCATTCACCAACTCATTCTGAACAAAAGAAAAGCAACAATTTTGCGAATCATCTTTATTTTCATTACATAAAATCTACACGCTTAACAGTTTATATCATCTACCTACCTCACAATCGTGTAATTATCACAGTACGAAGTCTTCTTGTTTTATATATACCTACAATTTACAAAAAAAAATTACGTGGGGAAGCTCAACAAACTACACGAGTGGTTTATTCAGCTTGTACAAAACAGATACAAATAAAAATGTAATAATAAATCAATTAGGTAAAACAAATCCGTAACTAAGGAAACCTGTGACAAGATTTTGAAAAATCATTTGAATTGATTCCATGGCGGCAGCAATATCAACATATTTGATCCACGTTAATAACTTTTAAGTTCACAAAATACAAAATTAACTATTTAAACCAATAGCATGTATGGTTCCTGTCAAACATATCTAATGTCCCTCTCTCCAGTGATTTTGTTCAACTTCATTTCTAAAATTAGGACAAGTCGTCAAGCTGACAACAGACTATGTTTATTACCTACCTTGCTACAGTTAAGATATTCTAAGCTCATTAATACTGGCCATAGTTGTCTTAAGGCGCGTACTGACCTGAATGTGCATGCGCTGAGTCACGACGCACGCACATGCACGTTCAGATCTGGACGTGGCATTCGCAACGACTCAGCACATGTTTATCTTCTCGCGAGCGGTGGCGAATGCACATAACCCGAGCCATCGGCTGTCGGTTTTTGTCACCGCTCAAAGGAAATATATCATGCGTGCGTGCTCAATTTGGACGTCATTTTAGTCAGTTCTTGCCCGTACGAACGCGTGCATGGTTTAAGTAGTAATTGACAAAATGGAGTGGAGTAATGACGAATGCCTTCAGCTAATCGATCTCTACGAAGATAATCCGGTGTTATGGAATGCAAAGCACCCCTCCCATTATTCAAAAAATTTAAAAATTGATGCGTGGGACTGAAGATCTGCTGCATCCAAAATCGTTTAGGCCGCTTGTCTCGTTTATTTTTTTTTAAGTAAAGTGTGAATTACTACATAAGCAGCTCCCGCGATAATTACTTCCGCCATATTTAGAAATGAACCGCACGAATGGTCGGAACAGACTGAAACACAAAACATGCATTCGCTGAAATTAGTTTTAAAAAACGATATCTTTTTCCATTCGCACGCATACCAGTTCGTTCGTCGCGACTCAGCGCATGCACATTCAAGTCAGTACGCGCCTTTAGCGATTCTTACTGAACCTACTAATAAGCAAACCGTATTATATGACTCACGCGGAATCATTGTAGTGGGGGCACACCGGATTTAACAAAAAAAATGCCCAGGATCAGTTGATTCACTGTTATTATTTGAAAATATTGCTTATTACTTCAGTTTTTAGAATTTGCTTATAAGAAAATTAAAATCTTTGCGTATACTTTAAAAAGGGTGTGGTCTGAAAGACCTCCATCCTAGTGATGACTTCTGGCAAAGAAACGAGTACCAAAAATTGATTTGTTACTGTGACAAGAAAAAATTGATTAAAAAAAACAATATCTGATCTTTAAATTATCACGAGAATACTCAGGAGTTAACATTCTGCAGGGGAACGTAGCACCGGGATGTCATACACAGCAGCAAAGGAAAATTGTATTATTAGAGAATTTTCCTTTCTGCTGGAGGATATTCCACAATCTCCCCGGTGACTTGCGCTATGTTAAGTGGTGTGATTAAGGTAGGTTTCCGAATAAATTTCAGGTATACAAGCCCGTGCCTTCCATCTCACATCATTACTTTGGTAATTAGAAATCCTTACCAAAGGTTGTTACACTTTAACATCAAAAGTTAACCATAAAACAGTACACAGTCGGTATACCATTGGAGTGAAACCTGCATTTCCAGTAGAAAATAACAGAAAAATCGTCATAATACTTCTCAAATCTTGTGAAAACCTAATTAATCCAACACAAAGAGGATAAAGCTCCATAAAAACTATTCTAATATACATCAGTGGTTCAAATTCGTAATGGTGAGAGATAGTGTTGGTTAAATGGGAAATTTTGGAGAAATTTTTGAAAATAATTGAGACATCACTGAAAAACGTATGTCAAATTTTATTTTCTTTTTTCCCAGCTTAAACGGTGGAATTTTTCAGAGAATGAAGCTACAGACCACTACTTTCTTATTTCTTATGGACACCACATTTGATTTTTACGAAATGAAATAGAGGACAAAAAAGAAAAATAATAACGTAGCAGACTAGACTTTTAGATAAATTTACAGAAAAATTTCAAACTCAACTGTTCTACAAAACACCCACGGGTAACAAGATATTGCTTAATCAATGGCTATAATAGCAATACAATGAAATGAATTTTTTTGTCCTCTATCTCACTCTGTAAAAATCCAATATGGCGTCCATAGCAAATAAGAAAATAGTAGCCTATAAGGCCTCTACATCTAGCGTGTTATGGGAATTCTAATAACAGATTCAAATTCTCAGAAGAAAAGTGTCCATAAAAGGTGCTAAATGGTACAGATCATTTTTGACCGTTTAAACTAAGGAAAATCAAACGGAAATTTGACAATTTCAGTTTTTCAGTATTTTTTAAAGATTTTTAAAAAAATTTAAATGCGTTTTTTAGCCACAAAAAAGGGTAATTTTGTCCCCATTTAACCTACACTATTATAAACTTTGGTATATCGTTTCTGAAATTAGAAAAAAAGTTGTCACAGCGTCAAACATACACAAAGACCACATCAAACCATTATTAATTTCAGATCGAATATTAGAGAGCTTAAATAGCATCCAGTCACCAACACATAAAATTTTTTACTTACTTTTTATATTGTAATCTCTGAAAAAGCGAACACACCTCCAAAATATACCGTGAATGAAATTTTATTTAACACACAAACGAAAAATTAACTACACCCACTACTGTGATGTAAATTATAGATTCTGACGGTGGACGGTAAACACTGGTCATTTGTCATATGCACATTGCTGAAATTCACAATTCTGGTACAAGAAACTGTCACAAACGCAAATTCTTGTACCATTTCTTGTACAACAAACTATTTGTTACATGACACTACATTTTTTTTTGTATCAGAAACAGGGAAGAAAATATTTCAATATAAGGTAATTACCATTGAAACCCTTATGATGCGTAAACCGTTTCTACACCCTGTATACTGGATATGCAGAAATTGAAATCGTAACTGGAGAATCTGAAGGTTCTGAAACTTCTTAAAAATCTGATTAAGCTGCAGGCTCTAAATTCTTAAGACATCAAAAGTACCAATTCAAAAACTGTGAAAAAATCAAAGTTTTAAAAATGAGAACAACTTGAAAAATCGGAAAAATTGTAAAAACAGGGAGAATGAAAAAGACTACGCATCCGCTCACTCATCAATTGCCACAAAGTGGTTGCAATATTCAGCCCTTCCAGAAGGTAATGGAGGGGCTAAACTGAAGTGAGACAATTTTTTAAAATGTGCATTAGAAAGCACTACAATCTCACACTTATCCCCACTAGGGGTGAAAAGTGGAATAATGCATACCGTTTGGTAAGGGTGCAGGATGACACAATTGAGTTCAAGATCTTTTCTCATACTACTCTTAAGTATAGAGATAAAGTATAATATTTTGTTAAAATACAGAAATTTCCGAATTCTTCAATACAAACAATTTTGAAGTTCTATATTTTTTTAAAATAAAACAAATTCCGTTTTCCGTAGATAGCTCAATGAAAGTATAGTTTTTAAAATGGTCCAGTAGGCCCTGGCTTTCTTAGATAATACTTACGTTGTTTTTATTAGTTTCACCAGTTGGTATTGAAAATTGTACCTTGTGTTTGCATATCTTTATAAATCAAAGGTTAAAATTATGCAGCATATGGCAGAACTATAACACCCAGTAGAGCGACAACAATGCGTTTGCGTTGATATATATGAACTTTCAATCATAAAATTAGCCCCTATTTACATCATATTTAGAAAATTAAAATATAGTGATTAACCCAGTACAAGAATATCTGCACCCTCCATCTCTCCATCTCTTGATGCCTAAATGTCAGCATATTTAATTATTCTTAAAGGAGGTCCGTTGGCCAATTAATAAGAGCCATTTACATAAGTTACGAACAACACGGGACCCATAATGCTTGTGACCTTGAATTGCTTAACTCCAATGTGTTCAATGCTTATCAAGCACATTCTTTTGATAGATCTGAAAATATTTCTAGTGGAGATTGCCTTTATTTGTCTTTATATACATGTAACATTTTCTCCAGCAATTTCTTTGATCAGTTCCATGCAGTTATCTTAAACCCTTTGCAGAAGCACGTACAGTATGGTTCAAATTCGTAAAGAAGCTGTGAATTACTTACTTTCGTATTTCTATTTGTACGGAATGAGATGTTCTATCGAGAAATGAATGTAAAACATTTGATTTTGAAATTGTTGTTGTAAATTTGTGTACATAAAAGTATATAGTGCAACACCTTTTTTTTTTATTTTTTCATGCTCTATGCATAATATTTATATCACATATTTTAAATGTGTTTATGCTATGTTTCAGTACAGGGAGTGCGCAAGCAAGAGTTAAGAAGGGTAGGGAACAAATGTAAAATAATGAATCTTCATGAGCTCTAGCGGTAGAATAAAGAACTAAGAAATAAAAACCAACTACAGCGAACTTGCACGAGAAATACAGAGATTGCGTAATGGTTACTAAAAGAAATATAAATTGAAAAAAAAAACCTCAAAAACCTCTTAATCTGGTTCAGTAAAATACCAATATAGCGTCCATAAGAAACAAGAAAGTAGTATCCTGTAGCTCTATATCTAATGTGAAATTCTAGTAACAGATTCAGATTCTCCAAAAAAAAAGCCATTTCAAAGATTTTTAAAAAATTGTAAATTCGTTTTTTTACTACAAACAGGCCCCATTTAACCTACACCCCACACCACCTTTAAACTTAATTACTTGCAAACAAAGATTACTCGCTAGACAGTTCTTTTTGCTATTATTACACGGTTGTAGTAAAAGTGGTTTCATCACCAACTTATAAATTATAAATTCGTGGGTTTCATCCACTGTAATACTTTTTTTTTTGTTACTGTAGAGCAGTGGTTCTCTAAGTGGGTGCCGTGGCACCCGCACCTCATAAGGGTGCCGCGAAATTTTTAAAAATTTACTTAAAAACCTTAAAATTACATAAATTAAAAAAGGAATTAAAAGACTTATAAAAAATGAATATTCGTTTTTTATTACAATTCTGTTTTTTAATTTCTATTTTATTTATTTCTATGGTTCATAATTCATTAATCAATCATATGCTGGTATTGCATTACATCAGACTTTCTCAATCTTATAACTTATATTTGGGGTGCATATAGGGTGGCATGAGGAATCGAAAACGTCCTATTTTGGTTTTGATCCGTAACCATCTTCAAGGTTGTTGAGGGTGTCAAAATTTTGAGTCATAACGGCTTGAAAAAATTTTTTTAATTTATTCGCATACACGGGCCAAAATGGCTTAAAAAACTCGACAAAAAAGTTCCTTTGTTTTTGAGAAGTTTTGAATTGAAAAATTAAACTATTTATTTTATTTTGAGAAAAATGAATTTCTCTAAAAGTAAGCATCAGAGTGAAAAATATCAATTACAAAAAAAATGTGCTTGATGAGGTTTATAAAAAAGGCTTGTACACTTTTTCCGTCGGGTTCAAGGCCATTTTCTAAATATTATACTATGGCCAAAGATAATTGCAATGAGTATTAAAAGTAGTCGGAAAGTCAAGTCAGGAGTATACCTGACAACTAGTTTTAAATGCTTTTGACAAAAAAGTTTGAGAAACAATGCTGTAATTAGTTTTTCAGGTTTTTTTACAAAAACGAATTTAAGTAGAAAAAATTCCAAGATGGTGGCGCTTGGATCACAAAAATAAGATTCGAGATATAAGTATTATCACAATTTTTCCTCTTCTTTAAACCCTGATGGGAATGAAAAACAGCTTCCACTCGCAAAGAAAACCTTGAAAAAGTTGTGCAATGAATTTTGTGACAGTAAATAGTAATAAAGTTATGTTTGATTCGTTCAGTACCTTACCTTTCAAACACAAACTGTAGATTTCACTTAGGATTCCAAGCTTGAGAAAAAACAATACGAGAGGAGTAACACAAATTAACAAAAGTTCTTTGATAATAATGAAACACTTCCATTATCAATAAATATCCAGATTGCAAAAGTTACAAATATAATACATAGTTTAAAATTTTAAAAATATATAATAAACATGTGTATATTAACAATTGATCACAGTCATTTTGTACTCAAATACACAATTAAAACAAATTTATAAAACCAGCAGAACATAATGATAAGCAAACAGCTGAACACATAAATAACAAGCAAGGGAGTCCGCTTATCATTACATATAAAAAAAATAATAATAACAAGATCGATGTTAAAATAGGAAGATAAACGACTAGACTACAGATCACGTTAATTGGTAGGACATCACACGAAAGGTAACCGTCACAATAGTTTATTGCACTGCAATATTGTGTTTACCGATTGTTTCGTCACTTGATTCGTCCTTATTAAAATAATTAAGCAACTACTGGTGAAAATGCTCGCGATAATTTTCACCAGCACTTCCTTAAAGCTACCAGGACAATAATAAAACATATTCAAAATATAACTGAGCAAAAAATACCTGTTGGATTGTACAAATGGTGGCGGTTGAGCTGCCATCTCCTGAGCGTGATAGTAATTATCGGGCGGCACATAGTCTTTCCTTTGAAGTGACTGGTTCCATTGCTGTCTACCTCTCTGCCGATCTCGATCATAGCCCCCATAACCATAATCGCGATGATCTCTTTCTCTGAAGTCGCGCTCTCTGTCTCTGTTGTAGTTTGTATCTCTATCCCTGAACTCCTTATCTCGATCACGCTCTCTGTCCAAATCACGATCACGACCGCGTTCGCGTTCAGAGATTGCAGTGTCTTTGAACCGGTATCTAAAGAAACAAATTATTTCATACATCCGACGGTAAAATGTTGGATCGTACCGTGGTGGGGATCTGACGGGTGAACGATAGCGATGCGGTCCCCTATGTGGCGAACGCTTTGGTGAAAAATGTCTAGGAGGTGATGTTCGAGGACTAGGAGAAAATGATCTGGAACGTGATCTATAATACATTTTGGCAAAGTTAGTTACATGATCCAAGAAAACTAACCTGCTCAGCGAGAACGATCGCGAACGGCTGCGTGACCTCCTGCGCGGCGACCGACTGCGCAAGCGCCGCGGCGAAGGGCTGAAACTCCTGCTCGAACTGCGGCTGTAGCTGCGAGCCTTGCGCTGTTTGGCTCGTCGCACTCGTTCGTCTTTCTCGCGCAGCATTCGATTGAAAGCCTCCAAGGGGTCATCGATAATTCTATGACAAAAAAACTGAAATTTGCGTTCGGAAACGAGGGCCATTGCGTACCTTGTCGGAGTTCGCCCGCGCCTTGATACATCACGCGGATAATCGCGATTTCGCGACGGTCTGGGACCGGGTGGGTAAACTGGGTAACTCGCATGTCCTTGCAATGGGGGTCTGGTGCAATCAAAAACTGGTCGCGGTGGTGCGGTGTAACCACTAAGAAAAGTTGATGTGTAAAACAAATGGTGTTAGCGTGATGACTAATTTACCCTGGCATATATGGAGGGGCTCCTGGGGGCGGCAATCTGTAGTTTGGCAGTGGTCCTGGGCCTGGAGGTGGATACGTTGGAGGAATTGGTCCAGGGTAGGCACCTGCCATTATCGGAGGCGGTCTCTGAAAATGTGGACAACATACAGCTTAGGTTTCGCAGCTGCTTAACATGATTCATTAGGTGTAGGTAGTTGGGCGTGACTACAAATGTGTAAGATGAAAACGTTCAATTTGGTTTGAAATAAAAGTCTATGTTTAAGTTGCATCTTTCCGCTTTTAGATAAAAGCCTATAACTTCATTGTTTATTACGTAATGATTGTTGCATAATATGCAGTTTTCAAAAACGTGTACGGGATCAAGTAAAAAAATTATCAGACCTAACCTCATTTTTAAATGGAACACTCTGTAAGTATATGTCTAAAAAGATAGCAAATGAAATTAAAATATAGCATTAAAGAAATTCAAAAAATTTAATATTGATTCAAAAAAGATTTTAAGATTAATTTTTGAATTTTTTGGAATCTTTTTTTAATTTAATGAAGCACTTGATCTTTTTTGAAGTTTCAGAGTGGATTGCAGAAGTGATAACCATACTACGTTCCATAATAGACTATACGTACTCTGTCTTGCACAATTGGGTACTATCATATTTTTTACCCAACATCTTCCTCAAACCTTAATTTTCATGCCTACTTTCTGTCAGGAAATTTGAGTTTTTATTATACTTCATTGAAATCACCTTATTTACACCTGTATTAGAAATAATGGTATCTATCCTTTTCCAGGCTAGCGCACGGAAAAACTTTTCCCGGTCCCTTTGTTTCTTTCCGTGCGCTGAATATAAATACCCAAAATATTGCTTTAAAATACAAATTTACAGGGAAGGAAACTAATTTTGAAAATGATTTGAGAGTAACCATGAAAACGCATTTTCTATAACTGTTACAAAATAAAAATGTTAGCGAGTTTGTTGTTTTTTATGTTATCGATTTAAAAGAAGTATAATAAAAAATATCGTTCATTACACGTCCAGAAATGCTTTTTCCGTGCTTGCATGACTTCCCGCGTTCGGCTACGCCTCACACGGGAATTTGTCACGTACGCACGGAAAAAGCCTGCTTTTCGGACTGAATTATACTATTCCATGACAGAGGCGGTTTCCTGCCACTTGTCACTTTACTGGCCACACCATCACTTTACCGGCCGCATCTGTGACATTGATAAATGTCTATTATGACCCCTGATTGACATTAATCAAATGTTCTATATAAAAATTGAAATTTTATATTAAAATAAGATTTTGGGTAAAATTTAATACAAAACTCGTCACCTGGAAATTAAATCAATCTTTCCTCGCCAGTAATGTATCATTTTCCTGACTTTTATGTAAATAACTATAACATACATTTGTCAACAAAATATCCATGGGTAACTAGATCTTGCTGAATAAATATGGCTATGATGACAATGCATTCAAATGAATTTCTTTTTTTATCCTCTACCTAATCCCGTAAAAATCCAATATGGCGCCCATAAGAAATTAGAAAGTAGTAGCATCTACATCTGGTGTGTTATGGAAATTTTGATAACAGATTCAGATTCTCCAAAAAAAAAGTGCCCACAGAAGGTGCTAACGGGACACTTAAGCTACGGAAAATGAAAACGAAATTTGACATTTTTAGTTTTTCCGTGATATCTCTGTTATTTTAACAATTTTTCAAATATTTTAAATGCATTTTTTTAGCCTGTACACCCTATACAGGGTGGCCAAATTTGGTTGTTAGTATGGGATAACTCTTAAATTACAAGTGATAGAAAAAATTAACCTTGCAGTCTCGATGTATTTTCTTGAGATACACTCGAAGTTGAACACCAATGGGGCCTACACTCCTGCTTTTGAATTATAGGCAAAAGTTACCTTTTTCAAATTTAAATAAAAGCCTATAACTTTTTTGTGTTCTCAGAAATGTGTTTATTACAACAGTTTCCTTGTAATGATTGTTGCATAATCTACAATTTTCAAAATAACCTGTATATTTTAATCTAAAAAGATAGCATATTAAATTTTTTTTCACAAATATAATATTAAAGAAATTCCAAAAATTGAATATTAACTGAAAAAAATTCAAGAAACTTTTTTTAATCATTTAAACTTTTTTTTATTTTTTACGATCTTTTTTTTAAATTTCATTGAATCACATCTTTGCTATATTTTTGAAAAGATAATTTAATATGCCTGTTTAGATTACAGGGTGTTCCATTAAAAAAAAATTAGGTTACATCTGACTACTTTTGTACTTGTAATTGAAAATATTGCAACTAAGCATTTTAGATGCTGAACAAAAATCTGCATTTGGTTCTTGCACTACCTAGTAGCTTCATTGAAAAACTTCAGTGAACCAGTTATCCTTTTTATGTGTCCAAAACAATAAAAAACACCATGTTCTATTTCCTTATTCATGATTAAAAGAGAGAGCAACCTCAACTGTCACTATTACAAGCGATGTAAAACAGAAACTTTCAAGTAGTAAAGAGCTACGAGGATTATCCAGAAAGTAACCTCTATTCTGAAATAGAAATTACCTATACAGATACAAAAATTGTATTATACAGGGCATTCCTCAATATGATGAAATATGGAAGTGGCTTAGTTTATGACTAAAAGTCATAAACATAGATTGGCAAACGCTTCGTTACCAATCTACAGGGTGTCATTCAATTTTCTATCCGTGCGCCACTGGTAGATTGTAAAATAAGAAGTTGATTTTCTTGTTTTTTTTCAACTTTTTAACTGGTCTCTGACTTCTTTCGAATGTGCAACCGTTATCAACAAAAAAAACCCTAGAAAAAACCTAAAAATCAACTTTCTGTAGTTAGCTAGGCAAATGAACGTAAAATTTTTAAAATGTTCCACAAGGTCCTGGCTTTTTTTTGGAGAACCTTTTGTTTTAATAGTTGTGATATTTCACATTTGAAATTGTATCTTTTGTTTGCATATGTAATTGTGAAATTATAACACCCTGTAGATTGGTAACGAAGCGTTTGGGGGACTATGTATATATGAACTCAGTCAAAGAATTAGCCCATTCTATATTTACATCATATTTATGAACATCCTATATACAGGGTGATTCCTATAGTACCTGCCACCGTTTGGGAGCGTATAGGGGGTGCCTAGGGGAAGTCTTTTCATATAGGACACTTGGGGTCGGAAATCCAAAATAAGGGCGCCAGAACCAAATTTATCTTCTGGAATTTCACGCCTGTATGTAGGCAACCCAACCGACCGACGTTTTGCGCGGAGCGATGCAGAGCGAGTTAGCGCGAGGAAGCGACATGGGAGGGAAGGAGGGAAAACGACAGTCAAAAGCAATAACGTTTACAAGTGTTCAACGTGGCCACCGTTGTTCTCATTGCACTTCCTACATCTAGCCAACTATTATTATACTATTGCCATAGTGTTTATTCACTTGATACGCGTCGTTGCAGACGGGATTTCGTGGGTTTAAACAAAATTCTGATCAAATGTCAGCCACACATCGCCGCCTGAGATCGCTCCGTGTGCACCGCCGGCCGGTTGGGTTGCCTACCTACAGGCGCGAAATTCCAGAAGGTAAATTTTGGCTCTGGCAATCCCTTATTTAGATTCCGACCCCAAGTGTCCTATATCAAAATACTCCCCTACGCACCACCTACACGCTCCCAAACGGTGGCAGGTACTATAGGAATCACCCTGTATACAAGTCATACCATGTTCCACAAAAGTAACATTGTCATCATTTCTAACTTTTTTTGTTGTTGTCTATACGACTTATGTTTAATGATAAAATAGGATATTTCTGTATGTTTGATTATTTTGCTCTATAATTGGTTGTACTGTTGGGCAAATATATATATTATTATTATTATTATAAACAGTTTTGCATTTAAAAAAAAATTGGCAAGATTTTCCATTAGAGCGGGTTATGAGGTGTTGTAAATGTACATACTCTGTCTTGCACAATTAGATGCACTGCACACACAGATTTCAAATGGCAGCGTTGCCACCAGTACTTCTCACGCTATGGTTAACCAAGGGTTACTTTCTGGTTAACCCTCCTATGCATCTTTAGGTAGCCACAATTCTAGTACCCATTCAGATTGTTGGGAAATTAATAAATAATTGCAATGACACCCTAATCTACCGACCTTCGATTATGCTATTGCTATAACAATAGCAATTATGAATGCATTATAAACCAAATGTACTATGTATAGGTAAGGCCCAAAATTAACCACGGGAATTGCACTACATTTTCCTCTTCAATAACCTACCTGCATATTAGGTGCCTGCATTGCCATTATAGGATTCATATTACTGGGCGGCACAGCGCTATACAAAGGTGGGGCCGAATGATAAACTGTATTCGAACAAATAGTCGTGGTACCGCCTACACCCGGTTCGTCGACGGTAGGAGTTCCGGGTCTATCCTCAACACGAGACCTAGAGCAAGAGAAATAAAGTAGTTCGCAACTAATGTGCGTCAGAAGACATACATTGCGTCCTGTATGTAGGTGGGCGATCTCTTGACATGATGAGGTCTCCGCGGGGAACGCTCATTTGAATTCATTTTCGGATGAGGTCGATGATCTACAAAATTGATTACACTGAATGTTTATCTTCAAAAGAAATGTCTTACGTCTGGACACTGTCACGTTTGTAATTCTCTGCGCCTTGGGCGACTTATCACGATGTGGAGAAACACCTGGGGGTCCTTCAATGACAGCCGCTGATTTTTCCGTCTCCTTTAAATCGGCATCCTACAGGAATAAGAATTAATGCCATTAACTATACAAAACATTTACCTCTGCAGATTCTTCCTTCTTTGGCTCGACAGTAGTCTTAGGGGTTTCGGTTGAGTCTGCCTCTCTTATAACAGTTTTCTCTTCCGCATTCACTTTGGACACAGGTGGAGGAGTAGCTTCTTTCAATCCGGTGACCTAATGGAAAAGTAAGAGGAGGCTCTTTGCGAGGAATGGAACACTTACATTGAAAGTTGGCTCTGGTATTATATCCGGATGGGCTTTTATGGGAGTTTGAGGTAATTTACTGACTAACCTCTTCACATAGCCAGTCGTGCTCTTAAAATTTGCAACCGAATTCCGTAGATATCTAAAAAGGAATCAATATAATAGGCATTTGCTTCATTAATGATGGTTGGATGCATAGGGAAGTAAACTAAGATAGGGAAACTCGGGATTAGGGTGACCATATGTACGGAATTTTGCTGTATTGTACGGAATTTTGACAATCTGTACAGCGTCGAGTGATGTACAGCCAAATGTACAGCATTATATCGTTCAATGTAAAATAAGGAGTATGCATATTGCTCCGTTTATTAAATTTGCAACTCGGCTTTGCCATTCCGGGCTTCCGCACAGTGTGGAAAGCAATCGATTCGCGCGACTCGGCAGTCGTCACTCGGTAAGTTCTCACCGTACCTCACCCACCTAGGTCCTAGAGCATGTGATGCGTTATAATGCTGCGCCAGTGATTTTTCGAAAAACGTGTTTTCGTTGAGGTTGAGACCAACTAGAGTCTAGACTAGTCTTGTGTACTCCTCTACTGGTGTAACTTAGGACAGTCTGGCGAGGACTTTTTGTCAAAAATTAAAGATAATCAAGCGTTATTGAAAAAAGTTCATTCAACTGAGAAATATCTTTAAAAATAAATGGCATCATAAAAAAAACTGTTTTATTATTTGCTGTACAGCATTCATGCTTAAAATATATGGTCACCCTACTCGGGATTAGGGCCATCCAAAAAGTTAATGCTTTGGTCCATTGGACAAGTCGTTAGTATTGTACAGGGTGAGTCAACGATTGCGTGGAGTAACTTAATGCCTTGAAGATAAGATTTTTCAATAGATTATGATATGGTTGAATATTCTCCACATTTTAAAAATATTGGGAATGATACATGGTACGCCCACAAACTAGGGCGCCAAAATGGTACATTTTTTTAAATAGAATCCCCTGTATTTGAATGCATTTTTGAATTCTACGCGTAATTGTACGTCTTTTTTATTATATGATTAATATCCGAAAAACTAGTGGTTTAAAGATAATTCGATTTGTAAGAAAAATTGGGCATTTTGATTCCAGGTTTTATATCTTTCATCCTGGATTAAGTAAAAGTCAAATATATACATCTACTATGAAACATTAAAAAAATAGCTTACAGGGTGTTTTTTTGTAGATCCAAACTTCATATTAAAAAATCTCATTTTTTTAAATGTAACACCCTGTATATTTTTCTGTCATCTTTTAGTTCTTCCAAAAACCTTCAACTTTTGATAATAATGGCCTATGCCTATCTCTGATATTTTTCAAAATACCATGGTTTTCGTGGTTTTTATATTCTAATCTTAAATAAGTTATATGTAATTTACATAATAACGAGGTGGCCATGCAAAAAAAAGCAATTTTTATCTTTATTATATTACACCTAACATTATCTCATTTAATATAGTTTATAGATCAATTTTAGTTAATGCTCTGTAATGACTGTTGGTAGGCCAACTAATGATGTTTGCTAATATCGGTTACGCCAAACTTGAAAAAGCAATATTTATTTTTAAAAAACATTTGATTTCCCCCCACCATTTTATTTCACAAAATAGGAAAAAAAGTATAACAAAAAAGGATTAAAACTCAGCTACCCTTGATGCCACTTTGTTAGATAAAACCCGGAAAAAATTAAAATTTTATATTTGATTATGACTGTTGCGCTCCTAGTGGTCATTTTACACACTGCAAAATAATTTCCAGCAATTTCTCACTTAAAAATTCGAAAAAAATAATGGTGGTTCAAAAACTTCACAAAAACCTAAAACATTCACGAAAATGTAGAAAAATCCATGGTGCAGATCTTAAAAATTTATAACTCAGTAATGAAGATCTGAAGAAGTACTGCATGTATACAGGAAAGTCTTGATAATCTGAGGTACCTATAGAAACAGTAGCAGACAAAAACGTGCTGATCCACTTTTAGAACTAGGCCTCTCAGAGTGGTAGTGATTGACCTTCAACACACCATCCACTGGTTTGAAGCGAGTAGCGCAGAATATTGGAGATGCATAATAAATGCACACACAACATACATTAGATTGCCTTTATTACCTCAGCCCATACATTTCTCAAACTTTCTGTGCACTTTAGTCACCTGTTTTGCAATTAAATATCAGATATCTTTGAGAGAACACTCTGTATGTAATTAAAAAAAAATCAGGAAGAGCCCACAAAGTCACAACGAAACAATCTTCACAAATCAAATTTTTTTATTACACTCCTGAAAAATATACATTACCTATTCGGTATTAGAGTTCCGGGTGAAATATCCCGTTCGTGACAAGCGGGACACTCGTGATCCTCGGACTCTAGCAAGCAGCTTCGAATGCACTCGTCGCAATACGAATCCCCGCAACACGGTATCATAACGGCGTCCGTTAATAAGTCTGAACAAAGAGAACACAACAAATCTTCCGGAATTTCTGGTTTCTTTTCCTCGGGAGGGGCGGGTTGTGGTTTCTCAGTATAAGCCTGATGGTCTAAGACGGGTACGGCGAACGAACCGTTTGGCGTCATCATGGCACCGGGAACTTGAGGACCTTCGACCGGCACCATGAAACTGCGAGGAATCCCGGTACTTTTCTTGATTTCCATTGGTTCCTAAAAAGACGTTAACGTCCAGTATAAAAGTGCAATTAACTTACGCTTCCTTGACTAAGTGGACAATCCCTAATCCAATGACCACCCTGGTGGCATTTGTAGCAGCGATAGGTAGGTGGGACCGGACCAACTTGATTAGCACCTCGTATTTTCAAATAGCTAACAAACGAAAGTTACCTCCACGACTATTATTCTTGTAAACTTACTTGCTAGGATCGTAATCTTGCGTACTTTGAGACATCATCGCCTTGATTTTATCTTCTTCAGAGGCGTCCAAACTAGACAAATCGACAGCTTTCGATGCGGGTCCCCCATCGTCGGTTTTGGGGACCGGACTCGAATTTCCCCCATACCCTTCCCACGTTTTCGGTTTAACTTGAACCGAGGGAATTCTGGCGATCAGCAGAGACGTATTTTTGGGAATTAAGGTCTCGTCGTTATCGTATATCTCCTTGGTCTGCGCATTGGTGACTTGTAGATCGAAATCCGTATTCTTCCCAATTCGCTTTTGTTGCATAATGGAATTTTTAAGGTCGCGTACGGAGATGTGCAAGCCATCGAAGGTGACTGTATCATATTCAAGTGCGGATTTGAATTTGTAATGAACAGACATTTTTTTAACCTGGGTTCTACAAATGAACTTTTAATTTGAGGTACACATGCTGTTTTTCTTAATACGTACCGTCAGCGTCCTCCGAAAACTCCCTGCTTCTACAGTGAAAACTTTACGCATTAATTGATAAATATTAATTAAATAATAAATGGGGAAATGTTAATCGCATTTTTCTCTTATATATATGATTTTATGTAAACAGATTTCCAATATGGCTGCCATCCAGGCATCCGAAATGAAATCTATTAAGTGCTACCAACATTGCGAGAGTAAACAAATTGAATACAGGACCGCATTGAGCTGCTTACGCTTTTTTCGAAAGTTATGAAGTAAATCGGATCAATTGGTGCGTAAGATAGCAAGTCTGATTTCTTTTGAAATTCAAAGCCCACGAAATATGCTCTTATATAAAAATGTCTTAGAAGGAAACACCCAGGAGCTTGGAAAGCAGAACTGGGCAAACTGTTCAACAAAGCTAAACAAAATAAAAGCCCAGGAGGATGTCTTTGGTCTTTCGGTAGAATAACCCCTCTTCTATATCGCACCTAAACAGATTCCTATAAAAACCCGCATTTCTATACAGCTAATCATCAAAAGAGAGGATTTGCACCTATACGGAAAACCTCTCAGACACGCCATACGCTATCGACAGAGACGGTCCCCGTATCAGTCCTAATATGGGACACGAATGGAAGACTGCTTTCAGATAGTGGACGTGGCGAGGTAACCTGGGGTGGTAAAATCGCTCTCACCATTGCAAGGTAGCCCGCTGCAACGTCCGTCCTTGGCCGAACATGACCAAGATCGGAGCAGCGTCCTCTGTAGGTATCCTCAAGTTTGCCTCAAGCGTGGAGTGACTTGAGTGGCGCTGGTTGCAGACCACATGGGGGCAGTACAAAGGGCCTATGTGCTCGAAACTCAGAATTTATAAAAATGCCATCAAAGGCTGAATTTCCTTATAAAGTTTCGCCAATCTTATATTACACGAATGGTACGGATTTGCGCATCTGTAATCCGTAATGATCTCAACATCATTGAAACTTTGGACATATCTTCCACCTCAGTACCGCCACTTTAAGTGAGGGGTTGATAGAAAATCTCCTCAAAAGATACCTTTTTCAGACAAGTACAACGGTGACACTTCTTTATTTAGTTCTTCAATCTCATTTAAATGTCAGGATTTAGTTCTTCCTCTTTTTATTAGTTTTGATAAGAAAAAATCTTAAGTTCCTAATTCCCTACACCTCCCTCTCCGTAAGTCTTTTACCAAAACCTGCATGACATCGACTTACCCAGATCCACCCTCCATACTCCCCGTATGTGCCCCATGTGATATCTTTTTGTTCCTCATACTTAACAGAGACATTAGAGCAAAGCCACTGTGGAGGGGAGAAAACAAACGCGCTAGGAGGAGTAAAGAACATCTCGATAAGTGAACTAAAAAATGTTTTAAACATAATGGAAACATCGCTTGAAGAAGTGCGTTGTAGTCAATAGAGAATACTTTGAAAGTGATCAAAGTTTGGTGTAAAAATATTAAGAAATAAAGATTTAATTATAAAATTGCCTCGTCCCCCCCCCCCCCACCTCGTTATTCTGGAAATGATTTTCAAAACCGCGCTATTTAAAATTTGGCATGAGTCTGCTTCAGTCAGAAATCTTTGTACCAAGCACTATACAGTTTTATCATTATCTCGCATATTTGGCACATTACCACTCGGGCTCCACTATAAATTCACGTGTCCATATCATCTTTGATAATGTAATATGATGTACTGGGGTTCGACTACTACTCGATTCAATATATTATACTTCCATTCGTGATCTACAGTTATGACACTGATAAATATCCGGCACTGCATTATCAGCACGCGAGTAATATAATAAAACGATCTCTATTTTTCCGCTATGCAAAATGTAATGTATGCATTAATGGGCCACTAAGAAGGGCTGAATGAATTTTTAATTTATTCATTTTGGGGAATTTTAAAATCTCACCACAATTTTGAAATTTTGGCGGGTAATGACGTACGTCAAAATGTGCCCGCTAAAAAGTTTTATCAGTGGTTATCCTTGCAAATTCAGACAGCACGGTCTGTACAAGCAATAGTGCAATTTTGCATTACCCGGCGGTTGTTACAGCTAATTTATTGTGATAGTTTACAGTGCAATTTTAGAAATAGGATGGCAACTTTCTGTATTGGAGGCAACCCCCTTAATTTACCACGTTTGAAGAAATTCGAGGAGGGCACCAATGCACGAGTACCTCTACAGTGTGTTACGAATGGCAATGGCCACTCCAGCCAGAATATTGTTACGGAAAAGAAAAATAAGGTGGATTTGGTAAGTGTTTTTACCTATCGACCAGATTCCTTGGGGTTAAGCGGAAGAGCACATAGGGGCTTTGGATCCTTGGTGAACTTCGTCTTTTGGAGGGCATGTTGTATAAATAATTTCACTTTTGTTTGTATATTTTTACTGATATCCAAGTAGGTAAGTATGTCATTATTAATAATAAAGATTTATTATTATTATTATTATTAAGCTGACAGGTAATGCGGTGTGGGGTCCTTTACTTTGTGCTTTTATCACACTTTTCATAACCAAGAGTTGACAAATTTCGCAGTGGCAGTAACATAAAAATTGCACGGGTCCCAAATATAGAACCTTGGGATACACCACACTTCATTGGCTTTGATTTTTTTTCTTTATCGTTGACTAATCTATGGGTACATGTCTACCAACAATCTCTTTACAGGAAAATGGCTGTTCGGGGCATAATCTCCCTGTAGAGTGTATCAGTCTTTTAGAAGATCCGCCTGCACTACAGCCTTTAGAAGTAACAGAACCAACTGCCGAGGAGCTTTCTTTACTGCAAGATTATGGCCGGGTAAGAACTGGTAACATTCCTGATTTTCTATACTGATGGGTACCTGTAGGATAATCTGGATTATTTGTTTTATCGTGAAAAACGAGTCGCATGGCCGAAACCGGACTACATGTCCAAGCAGCCATTCATAACGAAGCAGATGCGAACTATCTTAATTGGCTGGCTGATTGATGTTTCAGTCGAGTATGAGCTTGACGAACAAATTGTATTTGTAGCTGTAAATTTAATCGATCGTTTCCTTTGCGTTATGTCTGTTGTAAGTATGTTGACAGGTTACAATTTTTTTATTTAGTTTATCAGATCTATTTTTTTTATGCTGCACTGCATTGTACTGTAAGTATACTACCATTTTTTGTTAGTCTTGGTTTTAGGCTCATGTGATTTTACATCTTATGAGTCTTTTATAGGATTGCTCTCTTTGGATCAGTTCATAATGAACAAAGCTGGATTGATCAACAAATTTGAAAATTATTATTTATTCACCAATTTTATTAAAAAATGCCAAGTATTAGAAAAAATTTAAAATCGAGCAAGTGCTAGCAGGTTTTGCTTTTTATTATTGCATTTGTGCTATTGCTATACGTATAATGAAATAAGGTAAATGGCACCAGTAGGTAATGGGCTGCTTAAGGACTGATATTTACAGAGACCATATGTTAACTACTATTGCTCCCAATTTTTGTCTAGGGCAAACAATAGTTTAGTTACTACTGGAGTCTGGTTTTGGCTAGGTAACAGTATTACTAGGTACACGTTTTAAACAACAACTTCAAACATTGCTAATCCTTATCACTGTAATATGGCTGTAAATTGAAAGCCCCATGAAGGTTAGCTAGGGCAACAGAAAACATGAGAAAGTCTCAGACCATTTTTATAAGGCTTTCAACGTTCTTCATTTAGCTACCATTCCAGTGCATAACCGCTAGAACTTTTTATTTTAGGTGATTTTTAAAAATGTGGGTGACGAGAGGGGGGTAGAAATTGTGGGGGCGCTGGCCTTATTCTTCATGAAAGGTCTCAATGAAACAAATGGACTTTTCCCAACTAGGTAAGTATCGCTTTCCTCCACAACCTATCATGGAAATCAGTTAATAATTCCTTACCTTTTAGTAATTGGGGTAGGGGGGATAAAACTGGTATTATCCTTCACAGTATTCTAATGAAAAGTCTCATCAGCAGTAATTAATTCTTAGTGCCCTCATCCTCTCCAACATATAATCCTTCATCTCTTGAAAACACTGTGAGACGAGAGTGCAAGGCAAAAAGGCACTCAAAATTTTAAGTGTGAATATCTCGAGAATGGAATGTCAATGGAGGGTACTCACAAAGGGCTATTGGAATATCTGGTCAAAGCATTTTATTGGTGAAGTCAAAATAAATTTTGTGAACGGAGTGGCGGAGAGGGGTACTCTCAAAGAGAAAATTAAACGTCTGGAGAAAACATGTTAATTGTAGTTTAAGTGCAAATATTTCGAGAACGGAGTGTCTGAAGAGGTTACTCAGAAAGAGCGATTGGAACGTTTGTACCAGGCATTTTATGGGCGATGTGAAAACTTCCAAGTGCGAATATCTTGAGAATGAATTGTCAGAGGAGGTACTTGCAAAAATGAGGGTAGCATGAAGGAAAAAGAGAACATTTGCATAAGACATACCTATTGGTGATGTCAAAATAAAACACTGAAACAATGGTATGGATGAAAATGTGGTTAATTCAGATGGCGTCAATAATGTACAAAGTTGAATAGATTAAATGATTCCAAAATTAGTTGTCTTTAATATTACCTTAATCATTATGGGTTTTAAAAGCAACTTTTGTGCGAGGATGCTCAAATTAGTAATATCAATTGTGTAACAATTATATTTCTAAATAACAAGCATTAAGCACGGAGTCTTCAATTAAAATCCTTTACCTCGGTCAATGCGCAAATTTCGTGGGGCTGCTAAAAAATGCGCATTATCTGCATAGGTTTTTTGCCTCATACAATTAGCAGAGTATTTAGGCCGTTTCCAAAAGTGACTGAAAACGCAAAAATCGCTCTGGAGAGAAGAGTAGAGTATTTCCGCGAAATTTTAATTGCCACTTAACCTTAACAGTATGTGATGGTGCCCTGATCATGGCCGCTCAATAAAATTTGCCTTCTAATATAATAACTTGTCACTCGCTGTACGCGCGCACGCTAATGCGGAGCTAGGGAACGCCCTAAGATTCACCCCTCTACGTCTACCTCTACGAACGAGAAAATTTTTTTGCCTTTTTAGTCACAGGAAATACTAAAAAGTCAAAAATAAAATTTTTTTCGCTGTGCAATAAACTGCTTGGTCGTAACACATACTCGGAACTATTTTTTTCCGTGGTTTTTCGTTATGTTGTCGTATTTAAGGGCCAATCAGAACTGAGTAACGCGAGCTTGGAAATAAACTGCACACCTATTGTTTACTTACCGCCGATAACACGTGCTTATCTTGAAACTAATTAAATTTTACATTACGCAACGCAACAAATATTCTTATAGCAAATACATCATCATAACATCCTACCTTTTTACAAGAAATTTTACTTTTACAATTAAATAAACAAATTACAAGGTGATCAATTTAAACAAAACTTATGGCCGTTTGCACCTACAAATTTACGCTTTGCTTAAAATCCATGACAGCCATTCACAGAATACGGCCTTCTCAGAATAGAAACAGCAATGTTACAAATTTGTAAGCATGATATACAAAGCGATCAAAAATGAGTGACCGTCGAGTCACCTTTGGAAATTTTGTTTACAAGGGAAATCGTACTTAACTTGTACTTCCAAAGGCGACTCGACAGTCACTCATTTTTGATCGCCCGATATAAATACATAGATACAGCCATACCCCAACATAGTTCAAAAGGACGTACCATCTATTACCATCACTTTCGGCACATTAATTACATATAGCGCTATCCTTTATAGAGGTACCCTGAGCATGGAAGACAAGATTCGCATTATTTATTATAACTGTCAATCAAATTGTTAGCACAAATCACACAGAAAATTATCAGATTTGAAACTTTACAACATAAATAAACCGCCTTTTTATTTATTTAAATCGCATAGCAGCAAGAAATGTTACATTTAAAATGGAAGATGTTACTTAGAAAGCTGGAAAATGAAGAATTTGAAAAAATTACAGCTGACAAATGGAAGAAAGTGTGTGAACATGTGGAAAGTTATTAATTTAAAAGAGAAGTTATATTGGTTGATGTTTCTGAACTTTATAATAAGTGTTAATAATGACAGTGATGATTCGGATTTGTCAATTTCATCTGACAATGATTCGGATTGTGAACTTTTATAAATGTAATGAATGTTCACTAAATGAGTATTATCACCAATTGGATATCATTGTTAAGATGTTGTATTTATTTTAAATAAATGTACACGTGTAGCTTACTTACTATAATTAGCACTATAATTTCAAAAAGAAACCCCACCGATTGGACATATGCCGAAAGGTAGGCAAGACGCGTAGCGACCAAAAATTTGATATTGCACGCACACACAGTCTATAAATCTCGTTTTCCTAAGAATATTGCACGGATCCTTCTTTGTGATCATGATACAAACGCACTGCATCAACATCATATAGGTAGGCCAAAATGATAATTGGAAACGAATTCACTTCCTGTCGCAACTTAATCTCCGTAACCATTACGCCTACAACCATGCAATTAAAATTAAATTGTTGAACATAAACTTTACTTACTTACGGTTTTTTTTATATTCTACAAGCCAGCAATGAATTCACTGCAGCACATCATGCCAAACAAGGTAAACATAGTCCCAAATTTCAATGGCTAAAATGTAATAAAACTATTTCAGGAATAACAATTATGGACGCGTCTATCATTATGGCAAGCACTAATGTTATTCGTATTCAATTGATAACGCAATAATCACATAATATTTAGTGAAAAAACCGCCCATCATGTTTAGGGCGAATATTTTTAGTTAGATTTGATTTCGCGCAATCGTGAAATGTGTCAACTGTCACATGACTTATGGGACGCGCTAAGTTTGTTTTAAGCGTCCGATTCGCGTACGACATAGTGGTTAATGCAATAAAAAGAGATAGAACATGTTTATTCTTGGTTAGAAAGTAATGGAGAGATGTACAAATTTCTTTGATATGTTTTTTAAAAACCGAGGTACGTTTGTTAAGGATGGCTGTATCTAGGTATTTATATGTATATCTATGTTTGTAAGGTATTTTGGCGGACCCTGGTGGGTGTACTGTGAACTAAAGCATCAAAATAAGAGTAGCGCCATCTGGTGACCAGCTTCTAAAGCCATGAAGTCATTTCTCCAATTCGATTTGAATCATAAATATCGATAAAGAATACACAGTTATTAAATTAAAGTGTATTTAGATACAATCACATTACATTATTTAACACAGAGAACTTAAGTTACATGTTTACAAATTACATATAAAACTCGGAAGTGATTTGCACTTACGCTTTGTAGATGTTAACACTTTGCAGAAAGATCCTTACATAACGATTTGTCGTACGAAATATTTGGTTTGAATTGCTGTTTGGACTAAATATTTTTGTTAAACAATATCGTGAGAACTGAATTATTTGTTCCAAGAGGTAATAAAACCGTTTCAGCAAATTGTCACACAAGTTTTTGACAACAAATGTTAACTTGATCCTGGTGCTTACTTTGTTACCAACCCTTACTCTTTGCTTGTTACTTGAGAAGCGAGGGTGGAAGTTGTTGAATTATCTAAAACGAATCACAATATAAGTATCTACGTCTATATAAATGTATAAAACTCAAGTCTACATCCTTTTGCGCCTATACCGTTGGTAATTTATAAATTCCATACCTTGAATAAATAGGAAGAAATAACAGCACCTTCAATCTTCTTCGCGTTTCAAGCACAAAACAATATGTTTCAAAATATGGGAACGGTGCCTTTTTGATATTTTATCGTTACAATCCGCCACACAACACTTTTTACGGTCACATAACGTGTTCATATTTTAAATCTTTCAAAAGTCAAAATTGACATGTGTAAAACCATGTGTACGTATAAAAATCGACGGTAAAAATATTTCCTGTAACGAGCAAAATTACAGGTTTTGCAAAAAAATATTTGAGTCTGCGATAAATAGTTCTCCGTAGAACCACGGGAAACGCTGTAATCAGTGACAATTTAGCGCCATTTATGTTTCTGTTCTGTGAAGGTCCTATTCTGTGATTCGATCTAAATCACAAATATAGATAAAGAATACACAGTTGTTAAATTGCAAGTGTATTTAGATACAATCACATTAATTATTTAACACAGACATCTTAAATTACATGTTTACAAATTACATATAAAACTCAGAAGTAAGTGCAACTTACGCTTTGTAGAAGTTAACACTTTGCAAAAAGATCCTTACGTAACGAGTTGTCCTACGAAATATTTGGTTTTAATTGCTGTTTGGACTACATATTTTTGTTAAAAAATATCTTTAGAACTAAATTTTTTGTTCCAAGAGGTGATAAAACCGTTTAAGCAAATTGTCACACAAGTTTTTGACAACAAATGTTAACTTGATCCTGGTGCTTACTGGTTACTTGAGAAGCGAGGGTGGAAGTTGTTGAATTATCTAAAACGAATTACAATATAAGTAACTACATCTATATAAACATAAAACTCAAGTCTACACCCTTTTGCGCCTATAGGTACAGTTGGTAATAATTCTGCCTCAATTTGTACCTGTTACTTACCTTGCATAAATAGGAAAGAAATAACAGCACATTTCAACCCTCTTCGCGTTTCAAGCACAAAACAATCTGTTTCAAATTTGGGAACGATGCCTTTTTGATATTTTATTGTTACAATCCGCCACACAACACTTTTTACGGTCACATAACTTGTTCATATTTTAAATCTTTCAAAAGTCAAAATTGGCATGTGTAAAACCTGTGTACGTATAAAATTGACGGTAAAAATATTTCCTGTAACGAGCAAAATTACAGGTTTTGCAAAAAAATATTTGAGTCTGCGATAAATAGTTCTCCGTACAACCACGGGAAACGCTGTAATCAGTGACAATTTAGCGCCATTTATGTTTCTGTTCTGTGAAGGTCTTATTCTGTGCAGCCATTATCGCAATAATCATAGGTTTAAATTTGTCGGTGCAAATGGCCATTAATATTTATCAATTCTTATACAAAAAAACGTTGGACGTCAAATTTACATTATAGGAATAAACTTGTACATAATTAATTAAAAGTTGATATTTAGGTGCGTGAAAAATTTCAACTTGTCGGCGCAGCTGCGCTGATGCTCGCTGTTAAGCTAGAGACGAGCGTTAAAATATCGCCTCAAAACTGGGCCACGCTTACGGGGGATGGTTTTACCGCTCGGCAAATGATCAAAATGGAAAAATTAATTATGAGCGTTTTAAACTTTGATCTGAGATCACCAACTGTTATTTGCTTCATCCAACAAATTTGCACTAAGTTCAAATTTCCAAATGACCACTCCGCCATATCAATGGTCTGTATGACAGTGCGATCACTTCGTAGTATTAATTTGACATGTTGCAGTACATCGTGGAGTTGGCAGTTTTAGATGACGGTAACTACATGGATTGTCTCCCATCAAAACTAGCTGTCGCAGCAATCTTATTGGTTCTGTTCATGATGAAAGGAAGCGAAACGATTTCTTCCAAATTCGTGCATTGGTGGTGCGGATACGGTTTTGAAGAAATCAAACCTTTAATGACCAAGTTGTATTACACCCTTCGCAATTGTCGAAGTGACAAATTTCAATCTATCGAAAAGAAGTATGACGACAGTACTTTAGATTTTATTGCCAGCATTACTCCCAAGAATTTGAATTTTCTTTGTGTGGAGTAAAATGTGTTTAATATTTAAACATATTTTTAAACCCGGTAGCATAATAGATGTATTGATAAGTGTACATTTTTGTATAGGTTAGGTGCTCCCAATGAAACTAAGAGTATTGTAAAACCAGTGTTTTTGTGATTTTCTGAAAGAAATATTTTATTGATGTATGACATATTTATGTTCTTAACTTAATATAAATTATTGGAATGGCATTTGTATAGTTTACGTTTATACTACCCAAACTTTCAAGCTATTATACACTACAAAATTGGCATCCGAGGTGCCAGTGCGCACGTGGATCGAATCTTTAAATTACCGTGCGGTGAAAATAATGTATCAATTTATATCAATAACATCATGCAAAATATACTTAAAAAAATCGTGACATCCCGAAAACATGTTTATACGCTTTCAAAATTAAAAAAAAATAGTTTATTAAATTAGCACAATATTTTTTTTTGCCGAAAATATATTTATGAATTTAACAAAAGGTTACAACATTAACATATTGCAAATAAAATCGTTTAAAACATAAAAAAAAATTTTTTTTTAATGTACCGTATATATAAATATAAAAAATTTCATTAAATGCTGTCTGTGGCAGAAAAGTGCCTAAAATACAAGCCGCATTTCTCTGCTGAACAGCTAAACTGAATCTTTGTTTTAAAAACTCAAAACAACGTTTTTCTTGTGTTTTTTCAAAAATTTTTTTACTTATTTCTGAAGTAATTTTTTTTGTAGATGCACCCCAAGCGCCAAGTGTTTCTATACCGAAAGGGTAGAAAATAACGGTCTAGTAGATTACTATATTTTAGCATTATTATTTGGCATTACAAATAATTGTGCTCTACAGTTTAATATTAATTTGTTGGCTGAGTTTTTTCTTGGTATGTTCTTTCCCCCTCGCAGCTTATTCGTTTATTATTAAATTAAACCCGAATATCCATTCACTCCAAAAGGTAAACAGATCTAGCTTAAATTTGAAAAATCGAAAAGTGTCACGTGATCAAACCAATTCGTGATTCAGAATAACAGTGGGACCTCTGGTGGCAGCACAGTGTAATTAATATGGGTAGGATAAGACCGCCATTTTGTTTATTTACAATGGCCAAAAGTAATCAATATTGTGTTTACGGCTGTAAAAGTAGGTAAATAGGTAGGTACAGTAGCAAAAATATCATTTGTAATCAATGGGTGCGTTCACCAGACGAAGCGCTTCATGAGCGCTACCTAAGGCCGGGAATACTCTAGCAAGGTTTCTCCCGCTAGTTGCTAGCTGATAGCACTGTCAAAGTGTACACATCACAGTAAGTCGGACGTACAACGTTGGTCTTTACACCTCGGCTGCTATCAGACAGCAAATAGCGCGAGACACCTTATTAGAGTATTTCCTCCTTTAGATCTTCTTCTGGTGAACGCGCCCAATGTAATTACACTTTAAAGAGCAAGGATAGTTTAAAACGTCCCATTTTATCACGTTACTATCAACAATTTTAAATGTAATCAGTGTAATTATTCAACCAGAAATCGACGCCCCGCATAATTTATTTGTTGTCCCTCTTGTTCTGGGCCCTCAATAGACCTTCAGCCAATTACAGAGTGACCCTCATAATGCGTTTTAGAGGTGTCCCTTGCTCTCAGATTTTACATGCGCATACCTTTAGTGGCAAAGTTTTGAAAATGGGAAGGGGGGGGGGGCGACCAATTCGGGAGGTTGATTTGCGTTTTACAGAACTTTACAGTGCTTTGCAGAGTATTTTCTGGACCCAATTTGTTCGATATTTAATAATAATAATAATAATGTCTTTTATTAGCTACATTACAACTGAATCCATACATAGATACAGTACAAAAAAAAACAACATTCTGCGTGCTAAGAGTTCTGAGATGTCTGGTCCCGGGGAGGGCATAGGTATAGTTATTTAGAAATGGACCTTTGAAGGGTTTCTGAACCATGTTTTAGTGCATTTGAGATGAGCCATCGAAAGTGTTCAGAAGACTTTCAAAAGATCTAGAAAGGATATAACGGGTTCATTAAGGAAGTTTTCTGGAAAACCATAGAAAGTCTAAGACTTTAGAAAGCAAGTCTTGGACTTTATTTGTTTTTCACAAAGTGTAGGTATTGCTTACTCTACATAAACTAAAATGTGTTAAATAGGTACCTATACTAATAAATATTGCGTAGTGTACGTATATCATTGCGCTTGTGTGTCCCTCTAAGATAAGTGTTCAACAGGAAACCTTTTCTGTGATTATCCACGCGGCTAACTTTTCCACACCAACTAAGAAGTAGGCAAACCAAGTTTTAAATAACTAAAAAAGCATGTATTGCACGGTGGCGTGAAAGTATAAAGATTACACCTTACCGGCACTAACAAACCGGTGTGTATAACGAACATTTTCGAAGCATTCATAACTGGCTTTCGTATAATTAAGGTCTTAATAAGCAGCTCCACCTAAAACGGAACGATAAGTTAATTACACAAGAAGACCATTCACACGTGTTTAGGCATACTGAGGAGTTGTGAAACAAATGATCTTTCAATAACCGGTTCGCCAAAGGTTCATGTCAACAGACATACCACAATACCAGGTGTTCAGATAATAGGTAGGTATCACAAGAACGATGTTTCACTTCTCAACTCTACCCATCATGATTTCTACAATGAAAAATATACTTACCTCATCGGCAGCCGGTTTTTTCAACTTGCTGATTTTATACTTAAACAAGAACGACAGTAGATCATCGCTCTGAAAAGAATATAGATTGGTACATGATTAATTTCATAGATCTGTTAGAATTGATACGACAATACAAAGTTGGTACATGATTAATTTCATAGATCTGTTAGAATTGATACGACAATACAAAGTAGGGGGTTAGGCCAGTCAAATTACTGTTTGGTTTAATTTAAAAAACGATGCTTTCACACTGATGGGTGACTCCCAGAGAATTCTCAATTTTTAGCTTCCTAGCTTGAGCTATTGCCTCGGCTATTGTGATCACCGTTTTTTGGACATGTTAAAATTTCATCAAATGTTGACGTTTTAGATCATTTTAAGCAACTTTTAAAGAATAAGATTTTTTTTCCTCTGTATGTATATGTGCATACGTTCGTACGTTGACAATTTTCCGAAGTAACGGCTGGACGGACTTTGTTCAAATTTTGGATATGTATATTAGGCATACTGAAACGAAAAATAACGAGCCGGATTTTTGAAAAAAAATGTTGGAGCGCCGCCGCAACGCCATCGAACTTTTTTTTTCAAATAGCAACCTAAAATTGTTATTAAGTTATTCGAAAGACCTTATTTTTCTGTGTACAACCTATCAAAATTGTGGGTTTTTTACAAAAAAACAGAAAAAACAGTTAAAAAACTAAAATATTTTTTTTCGGCAAGACTAAATTAATTCTAATTAGGACTTACAATTATTAATATGTTGCCTTGTGGCATGAAATAAAATCTAAAAACAAATGAAAAACATGAGCAAAATTAAAAAAAAAAGATACAACGCCACGCGGTCACCCATACAAGTATTAACCGCGCCCTACGTTTCTTTTCTTCGGTAATCGAGAACTTGTGTTTTCAACGTGCTATGGTTGTTGTCGAAAAACTTACTCTTCTAAGGAAAACAATATAGAATCTTTTTTTTACAAAAAGAGCACACAAAAAAGATGCAAACGCCAATTTCGCGATTTTTTTTCGTCTGTGTGTATTGAATATGGAACTTAAGTTATACTCCTTCTAGTATCAATGTGCCGCTGAGCAGTGTTTGTAAAAAAATCATTGTTGCATACACATGTGCCGTTTTGCACTATTTGTTGTTACATCGATGTAATTTGAACAGATCGACCCGGAAAAAAATTTTCTTATAGAATGTGGCCTGTAGAATCCATAATTTCACAGATCCAAGATTGGGCTACTAGTTCAAAAGTTACAGCCCTTTGAATTTTCTTTCGAAATTGGTTTCTAGTCTATAACTTTTGATTGAGAAGTCTGATCGAAAAAGTACGAATTGTTTTTGATTCTACGCACCAAAATTAATAAGAAAAAGTGTTTTCCCGAGAAATTTTGGTGTAGTCGATTTTTGGTAAAAAAGGAAGGTTATACACTGCCTTTTTTTGAGGCCCGCAAAAAAATTGTCTCAGATCGACCCGGAAAAAAAATTTTCTTATAGAATGTGGCCTGTAGAATCCATAATTTCAAACAGATCCAAGATTGGGCTACTAGTTCAAAAGTTACAGCCCTTTGAATTTTCTTTCGAAATTGGTTTCTAGTCTATAACTTTTGATTGAGAAGTCTCATCGAAAAAGTACGAATTGTTTTGGATTCTACGCACCAAAATTAATAAGAAAAAGTGTTTTCCCGAGAAATTTTGGTGTAATCGATTTTCGGTAAAAAAAAGGAAGGTTATACACTGCCTTTTTTTGAGGCCCGAAAAAAAAATTGTCTCAGATCAGGGAGAAATATAATATGTCATTGGCAAAATGTTTAGACAACGTATTACCAGATTGTGCATTTTAAGCGCATTTCGAGGTGCGGCGCATCATAGAGGCAATATAAAACTAAAAAAAATATTGCATCATTAACCGTACAAACTGCATACGAAAGAGTAGGTAATATGCATATTCAGCCACCACGACACGTCTGGATTGAAAATGTGAAAGTATGATATAAATCCTAGATAACCTTGCTCTATCTCTAAGTATGGATAATTAATAGAGTAGGTATAGAAACTCATTATCATATTATATATTACTACAACATGTTCGGGAAAGTAATGATAAAATACTCGTTTGGGATGGCAATGAGTGTTAAAATAATTGTTTGCGTAAACGAGTATTTTTACCACGCTTCCTTCTCCATTACCTACTGACAAAGATAATATTTTCGCTACTGATAAAAAAGGATCTGTTTTGGACACAAAAATCAGGCTTACCACACTCATCAATTTATCCATCCAAAAAAGAGCCCACAAGAGGATACATTGTGGGAGAGTCACGTGAAGTACCATTATTGGCTCGATCAGGCCCCAACATTTAACAATACCCGCTACCGTCATAAGTCCTAGATAAACGACGAACATCAATACAGAAAATGAAATAAAAATCACTTGCAAGGGGTCGTAAAAATCATTTAGGTCGTTGATAATTGACCCATGTTTGTTGTGTATAAATCGAACTTCCTTCAATCTTTGCTGAATTGTTTCGCTATCAGAAAAAACTACCATATAGGTCTTTAAGTTATCCTGATACTCTTTAATTGACACGAAAAGTAATTCGTTTACCATTCGGTAGCCGATCACCAAGGAACAGTCAGCATAGAAA